GACAGGATCCACACGACATACATGTACTTCGGCTCAGGTCTGGGCATAACGGCGGCCGCGGCTGTCGGTGCGCTCCGGAGTCCGGCAATGATGCGAATGATGACTAAAAACTCAATGATGGTCTGCCTATCAATGAATAATAACATTCACTGTCTGACACTTACTTCTCATTTGATTACCACTTTCGCAGTCACTGTTACTAACGATGGGCGCTATGATCGGCACCGGAATGATCGCCCGATCCATACCCTACTCGGAGGGGTTGGGCGCCAAACAGATGGCGTGGGCCGTCCACTGCGGTGTAGTCGGCGCTGTCATCGCGCCGTTGTGTCTATTGGGCGGACCTCTCATACTGCGAGCGGCCTGTTATACCGCGGGCATTGTGGGCAGTCTGTCAGCCGTAGCCGCCTGTGCGCCGAGCGATAGGTTTCTCAATATGGGTGGACCCCTGGCCATAGGGTTGGGCGTAGTGTTTGCCTCATCGCTGGGTAATTATCATTGGTTTATATGGTATATGTGTTGATACGGGTATTAATGTGTGTGTGTTTTGACGGCACCCATAGGTTCGATGTTTTTGCCGCCGACCACGGCGTTGGGCGCCGGCCTGTTCTCGTTGAGCATCTACGGAGGGCTCGTACTGTTCAGCGCTTTCCTGTTGTACGACACGCAGAGGATTGTGAGGAAAGCTGAGACGCATCCGGTCTACGGGGACAGACCTTTCGACCCCATCAACGCGTTAGTGTTTATGACTATACTATGGGTGCGATTAGTGTTTGTAATGCAATGTTTGCCACGTTTTTCAGATCCATTTCCATCTATTTGGATGTAATTAATATATTCGTACGACTGGTGATGATACTGGGGATGGGAGGCAACAAACGCCGTTAAGCGGACAGTTGGCAACACTTACTAAAAGAGATACTGTTCCCCTGTGTAGTGATGACTCCTTTCAAATGCATTCAATTATTTTTCTCTCTATTTGTTTTCAATATATTTTTAACTTATGTCTCGTTTACTATTTTAGTTTCTCTATTAGTTTATGTTTGCATTAATTATAGCTGTAGTTATGAGACTAAATATAAACATAAAAATATATTTAAACTTTAATTTTGATGGTTTGAAATGCAATTGAAATGATTTATGAGAGTCTCATATATTTACTCACAAGGAGACTACAGTACAGTACTGTAAACATTAAAGTGTAAAATATTTTATTTGTAAAACTTATGCAAAGTTTATGTTCTCTTTGTTCAAAGGATTTGTAAATTCTTTAATAAAAACTTATTTATGAATACATAGTTTAAAATTCATGAATTACTGTTCCTATCACTCATTTGAAATTTGTGATCAAAAGCTCACTAATCAGCACCGGTATAATAAAAGGACTTTTAAGACAACGTTCCCATTTATGTTTTAACTCATGTGTTCACACACTTCACGTATGCGCTCCACTCATAGCGACGTCTTGTGTCATACGAATTGTGTTCAATAGCAGTGTTCATAACAAATAGTCTAACGCTAGACGTCGCTATGAGTGGAGCGCATGCATGAAGTGTGTGAACACATTTGTGTTACAATATGTAATTGTTTTTACCGTAAATGCATATTATTATTGAGTTCACGTTATTTAATGAGTTTAAACTTTAAACACAGAATATTCTCAATAATAGTTGCATACAGTGAGGCAATCAGTTACACATTTTATCACTAATTAGACTTTGGGATCAACTCTTTAACAGCACTTCAGACATGCTATCAGTCCTTCGAAAGACAGCTCTCTGTGGCCACTCTTCAGCCAAACTCTTCACTCAAACATTTAACAGACCATCCTATGGGACATCCCTGCAGACCATGAGTTTGTATCACTCGAGACACGCCATAAAACACTACTAATTATATGATAATCTGTTGCAGTGGTGCGACTGATAGGCAACACTAAGGGCAACACTAAACTCAAGAAACAGACATTACTGGAGCGCCTGCTGTCACCCACAGCTGATCCGCCATTCATTATCGGACGCGGAGTTGTGGCCGGAAGTGCTATCATTGGGATCGTCGCTCTCTGTTACTATGGACTCGTGATAAGCCATTCCGCGAGCATTTACAAAGAGTCCAGGTAGAGGTAGATAG